CCAGGGGTTAGGGGTTTAGGGTTTAGGATTTAGGGTTTAGGGTTTAGGGTTTAGTTTTTAGGGTTTCGGCTTTAGGGTTTAGTTTTGAGGGTTTCGGGTTTAGGGCTTAGTTTTTAGTTTTTCGGGTTTAGGGCTTAGTTTTTAGTTTTTAGGGTTTAGGGTGTTGTTTTTAGGGTTTAGGGTTTGGTTTTTAGGGTTTACGGTTTAGGGTTTGGGAACCTTTATCAACTGCAAAACCCCTCAACCCTAGGGGTCCATGTACCCAAATAGTATACCTGGAGGATCATGGGACGTAGTAAGTAAGGTTATAAGTCCCTTAGTTGGGGTTATCAGTAAATATAATAAGTGCAGGTACCCTAATTATAGCCCTACTTACTAAGTCCCATGGTCCTTTAAGTATACTTTGTCCCCCAAAGTACCCAAATAGGGACTATATACTATGTAGGTACGTGGACTTAAGGCCCTGCAGAGAGGATCTCGTAGAAGTCGCAAAGACCTGAAAGCCTAGAAACGCCCCTAAGCGCTCAAGCGCTTAGGGTTTAGGGTACCTCTATATTTACAAATAACCTGGCAAGCTTGATTCTGATGGAACTTGGCAGTCTGTGGCAGGTGCTGCCAGGCTTTGATGCGCTTCCAGGGCAGGCGGGCAGATGCAGAGAATGTCGCCCATACTTAAAGGATCATGGGACTTAGTAAGTAGGGTTTTAACAAAGGTAACTATACTTAAATATATTTACTTATACACCAAATTGAGGGACTTATAACCTTACTTACTCAGTCCCATGATCCCCCAAGTACCGCTTCACTTTGTGCTGATGTCCTTGGGGAGTTTCAGAAGCTGACTTCAATATGAGCGCGACATCGCTCAATAGTTCGATCCCATGGCCTCGCTGGATCCCTTGGCCTTGCATTGTAAAGACCCCTCTCATGCTTGAAGTCACCCTAAGGGTCCAAGTACCTAATAATCATATACTCTTCTGAGGACTCCGTAACCCAAGTACATGATTATTAGGTCCTGTGGACCCTTAGGGTCACAGGCCAACCTTCTTTGGAGTGGGACAGTGTTTCATCCGCTTACCCGTGCTTTGAGCCTTCAATATCCGAATAGGAACCCTTTTGAGGCTAAGCTTTCTTCAGTACATTGTTTCGGGTTTAGGGTTTAGTGACATGGGACTTCTGCACCTTTTTGGTACCCTCAAGCTAAGGGGATCTGCCCTAGACCCCGAAGCCCAGAAACTATGGGTACCATACAAGCCTGAATATTATCATTTTTTCCTCAGGGCCTCGTCATTCAAATTGTGCATAGTTTTACTAGACGAAGCTCTATTCCAATTGTGACAGCCCCGACTTGGAGGTTCATGGGACTTAGTAAGTAAGGTTATAAGTTCCTTAATCGGGGTTATAAGTAAATATCAGTATAGTTACCTTCATTACAACCCCAACCCTTGGCATCAACATAGCCCAAAATCCTCATATCATAAGGTCTTTGGGCCCAAAAGCCTTAAGATATGAGTCCTTGGAGGGTAAGGGCAGTTACTAAGTCCCATGACCCTCCAAGTATAGGGCCGCTATATTACCCAGAGGGTCCGAGTACCCAAATAGTAAGGTTTTAGGCCCCATACTTGGGTCATCATGGGACCTAGTAATTGGGGGTTGTAATTAAGGTAACTATACTTATATGTACTTATACCCCCGATTAAGGAACTTATATCCATACTCTGAATGGTTTTTGGACCTTGAAACGACCCTTAACCCTAAACCTTAAACCCTAAACCCTAAACCCTAGACCCTGAACTCTAAACCCTTAAGAAGGTACCCCTAATTTTCGGAAACTCCCCTATGTACTTGAACCCTTAGGGTTACAGAGACTCGTCGGCTTTGGGATTGTGGGTGGACGTCCTTATTTTCAGCCATCTCCCCGGTTCTTCGTTGCCAAAGGCCCTTATGACTTCTTGTGGGTTTAGGGTTTAGGGTTTAGGGCCGTTTAGGGCCGTTTAGGGTTTAGGGTTTAGGGTTTAGGGCTGTGGTGTTTATGGGGTCTCGGGACGATGGTTTGGGGCATGCAGACCCCCGGTGAATAAGCTCCTCCAGCAAAAAGGGCTTACAATCGGGACCTCAGCGGTTCCATGCTCCTAAATAGAAGCGGCGACTGTTACATAATCAAAGGGGTTGGAACCCCGAAATCCTAAACCCTAAACCCTAAACCCTTAAACCCCTAAACCCCTAAACCAGCCCTATGAAGCAATAGAAATCGCGATCGACCATATTCCCAAACCCTCAGATCTCGGTTTCTCCACACTTCACACCCAGCGCTTTGGTGACTATGCCTAGGCCCTACCGCAAACTGCCACAACCCTCTTTGTTGACAGGTTTTGATTTGAGAGACTGATATAGGACTTTCATAGGGGCCCTACAGAGAACAAAGTAGGTTGTTGTGGTTCCGGGTATATATCCCTAAGCCCTAAACCTCATAGAACCCTCGTAGATCCCTTCAGAGGAATTTCTAAAGCCTCATAGAACCCTATAGAGCCCTGTAGAGCACGTGCCTAAACCCCAAACCCCAAACCCAAACCCTTAACTCCTCAAAACCCTAAGCAGCTGCCATGGCATCCCCAACGAAGCACCTCCGTGTGCAACCGGCCTCAGCAATGGCCCATCGAGACAGTTGGCAGCCGAAGATCAAGTTATTCCCTACAGACGGACCTGCTGACGCAAACGCTGGCCGAGGTAGAGCACGACAACGATGACAAGTCTACCAGCTCGAGCGACTGAAGCTCAAAGCTCCGGCTCATCTTCCAGCCTTTTGAAGCAGAACCTTGCATTGTGGCTATGAATGCCTGCTGTCCTTGCGGCGGCATCCGCTGACGAGTGGCTTCCTAGTGTTCAGCTCAGAGGACGAAGCCCAGGAGGCCTTAAGGTCGCTGCCGATAGGTGTCTTCGGCTACAAACCCTAAACCCTAAACCCTAAACCCTAAGGGTAAGCAAAAAGCCCTGGGGCCGACCTAAAGCTGCAGCAGTTGCGAAAGGTTCAGCAGCAGGTTTAGGGTTTAGGGTTTAGGGTTTATGCGAAAGCTGCAGGTCAATGTGTGTCATCAGCAGCTTGTAAAGGATGCTAGTATCACAAAACAGGTAACAGCGAAACATTGGTAACGCAACGCAAACCCCGAAATCCTGAACTTTTCTCTGTAGGTGCATAGTTACACATACATAGCCCATATAGACTGATCACCTGATAGATCACCGGCTCACTGAAAAAGAACTACAGAAGAGATTGTTGACTATACGTAGTATAGGGGCTTAAATAATTTTCCTAGACTATTTTTTGGGGGGGGTTCCCTATTATGACTGCAGTAGAATGGGGCCCAAAACCCGATTCCAATTATTAAGGCTCCTACACCCTAAACCCTTATAGTAGCCCTTATAGATCCCTTTAAAGGAACCCTTAAAAGGATACCCCCAAAGCCCTCTTCTAATTAGTGAGGCCCCTGCAGTAGGCCCGAAACCCTGGACCCAGGCCGGCTTGAACCTAGCAAAGCCGCTACTTACCTAGTTTGTTCTCGGGCTTTAGGGTGTAGGGAGTGTAGGGTTTAGGGCTTGGGGTTTAGGGTTTAGGGTTTGGGGTTTAGGGCTTTGGGTTTAGGGTTCAGGGTTTAGGGCTTAGGGCTTAGGGTGTAGGGAGTGCAGGGTTTAGGGTTTAGGGCCCCCATAAACTCAAGATTGGTTACAATCATAACCTACAGAAAAGTAGAATACGGCAAATTTAACGTAAACCCCAAACTTTTTCGGAACCCTTGTGGATCTTTTAAAGGAGCCCTTATGGATCCCTGAAAACAGGTGAACCCTAAACCTTAAACCCTAAACCGCACTGATCCCGGAGGATGCCATGTCCGTCAGATGCAGCGATGCCGAAGCGACGCTCGGGCTGAACGTTGGCTTCAAGCTTTTGGGCTTTCGGCTTGTAGGGTTTAAAGTTTTAAGGTTGTGAGTCTAGGAAATGCCAAAACCGTCCACGGCTTGGGGTCTCTGTAGGCCCTAAACCCTAAACCCTAAACCGTGGTTGTTTTTTGTGTTTTTGAATACTCGGGTTTGCTGTTTTCGAGATTGCGCCCTGAGCCCTGCAAAGTGCAGCGCGAGCCCTTGAAGCCCGAGCCTCTAGAAGCCGCGGGATAGGGTTTAGGTTTGGGGAGTTTAGGGTTTAGGGAGTTTAGGGTTTAGGGAGTTTAGGGAGTTTAGGGGGTTTAGGGGGTTTAGGGTTTAGGGTGCATGAAGCTTCCGGTACCCCCGGCACCCTCAACCATGCAAGTCTGAGGCTTAAACCCTCACTAAACTCAAACCCTAAAGCCTTAAAGCCCTTAGGCTTCGGCTGAACCTTTCAACCTTACTTGAAGCCGACACTTGAAAACAGCCAAGACGCGGAACTCCAAGCCCCCATTTGCCCTAAACCTAAGCCCCAAGGGTGCCAGTAGTCGTTAGTTAAGGCGATCGGTACCCCTGAACCCTAAACCCTAAACCACTAACCCCTAAACCCTAAACCCTAAACCACTAAACCTTAAACCTAAACCACTAAACCACTAAACCCTAAACCCTAAACCCTAAACCGCTAGACCCTAAACCCCTAAACCCTAAAACCAGACGACCCACAGTCCTGCTTAGAGCGAATGGCATGAGCCCCATCGACCCGAAGACAGGAGGATCATGGGGCTTTGTAAGTGGGATTATAAGTAGGGTAACTAGGGTAACTATAATTCAGGGTTGAAGGGTTTAGGGGTTTTGGGGTTTAGGGTTTAGGGTTTAGGGTTTAGGAATTATCACCCATATTAGGGGACTTGTAACCCTCCCTACTTATAACTACCCGTGAACCTCGTAAGCCGTGTCTGGTAGATAATTTCAGACAGTGCGGGGCCCATGTACGTCATCTCTATACCGGTCCATACCTATATTGATAAATAAAACTACCTAAACAGTTCATAATTCCGTATCTATACCTACAGATGCCTGACTTAGTCACATCTTGCCTCTCCGAAGATCTTCTTCTGCGACTCTCGAACACGGCTGCGTGCACCATCGCAGCCCATGAGGACATCGAAGGTTTGGAAATTTTCTCCGAGAGGAACCGCGTAGCTGCGGGATCCCTGCTCCTCAGATGGAGCTGACTTGGCGCACACTTGCAGTGTAGTTTCAAGCACCACTAGTTTGTACCGAGCTTCATCACATGTGAACTTGACTTTCCACCTCCGCTGAACGCAATGCTTGCGATGGATTGTGCAAGCATATCGAAAAGGAAACCTCACAATGGCATTCAATCAACTTCGGGAACTGAGGCTGCGGCCTTGGCTTCTGAGTTCCCGGATCCAGAACAATCTCGGCATCCTTCGCTGTTCGCCGTGCCCAATTCTTCAAGCGCAGCTCCGGTCCGCAAAACCGTCCTCGTACGACATACCCATGCGGAAGTCAACGCCCAAAAGCAGGGCGTTCTTCAGCAAGAGCAGCTGAAGTTCCTGGGAAGATTCTTGTAAGGGTGGAGATGCTCGGTGCTTGTTCTTTGGCTCCGACGAGCGAGGTGTCACGCAAGGCGTTCTACTGCAACAGGCAGTCATCACTCGGCTGCGTGAGGGCCCTTTCGGAAAGCTGTTTCATCCATCTGCTGCCTCAATGCATTCAAGAGTCGTCGATGCCAATCGAGGATGTATCTGCTTGAGTAAAAACCGGATAGCACATCCTTGCTCTCACATTTAACACGTGTGCTGCTTCGATGTTTCAAGTCACCCCTGTGCAGAGCACACTCGGAACTGCCGAGGAGCTTGGAAGACATGAAATCCCGGCCATTCAACCGGTCCAGGTCCTTGGCTCATTTCTGCCCTTGATGTCAATGATGTCAGTCTTTGCTGCGGGGTGAAACTGCCTGAGAGCGATGATGATTGCAGTGAAGCTACAACACACAGCTGTGTGGGTGGCCATTGCATTCAAGCATATGATCATCACCATCCCGTCTTCGCTAAAGACAAATATTCCCGGCATTACTGCCACTGAGCTGAGTCACTAAACTGTACTGTATTTCTTATTGTTTTGTTTCCCCTTCTTCTGTGTATATCTATATCCGTATCTATATCTAAATATCAGTCTAAGTCTATATCCATGTCTATGTCTATATGCATACCTGTATCTGTATCCATATCCATATCTATACCTATACCTGGACTTGTACCTATATCCATAGCTATATCTATGTTTATGTCTATACCTGTATCATATCCATGTCTAGATGTATGTATTGATCTACGTCTATTTCTACGTCCATGTGAATGTTTGTGTCTATATCTTTATCTTTACCTATACCAAAACCTGTATCTATATCTGTATCGGAATGTTTTTTCTGAATCCATCGGCCTGCCTCCCTCTCTCTGTCTCTGTGTGTCTATCCGTTTGTCTGTCTGATTGCCTGTCTGGCTGTGGTCTGGCTCTCCATCTCGCTATCTCTCTATCGAACTATCCCCTAAACCCTAAACCCTAAACCCTCTATCTGCTTATCTTACTACTTGTGTATATCCTACGGAGCAGGAAGGGCCCCGTCTTTCCGAAACGCCTTATGACGAAGACTTCTACGGCCAGGAAGATCGGGGCACCTCATCCTAAAAAAGTGTTCCGAAACCCTAAAACTCCCCAAACCCTAACACTATAAACCTTTAAAGTTCCCTAAACCCTAAAACCCTAAAGCCCTCCTAAAAAAGTGTCCCCCAAAACCTAAAGCTCCCCAAGCCTCTAAGCTTCCCTAAACCCTAAAACCCTAAAGCCCTAGACCCCTTTAAGCTTCCCTAAACCCTAAAGCCCTAAAGCCCTTAAGCTTCCCTAAACAAAGCCCCCAAAGCCCCAAGCCAAGGGCGAAGCTTCTTTGCATCCAACGGGGCTTCGGTGGCTTCGCCTTGCACCAGGCCTTTGGGAGACCGTCAAAGCTTAGGGCCGAAGGGTCAGGGGTTCAGGGCCTAGGGTTTAGGGCAAAGGACTCGGGTTTAGGGGTTTAGGGCTAAGGGTTAGGGGTTCAGGGCCTAGGGTTTGGGGCAAAGGGCTCGGATTTAGGGGTTTAGGGCTAAGGGTTAGGGGTTCAGGGCCTAGGGTTTGGGGCAAAGGGCTCGGGTTTACGGGTTTAGGGCTTACTATGCATGTTTAAAGCAGTCTCCATCATGGGCTCGGCTCTATGAGGTTTCTGCCATGGTCTTCTTTTGGGTTTAGGGTTTAGGGTTTAGGGTTTAGGGTTTAGGGTTTAGGGTTTAGGGTTAAGTTCCAAGGGCTCATCTATGCCCCCAGCCCCGCTCCCTCCTAATGCAGCCCCTGTAGTGCCCGATAGTGGGCATATAGGTCTGGGGGGGGGGCCCATAGAAAAGACCACTGCAGGACCCTACTAACCCTAAACCTAAAACCCAACTGAACAAAATCAAACCTACAGGCCCGTTTAGGGTTCAGGGAGTACTTGGAGGTTCATGGGACTTAGTAAGTAAGGTTATAAGTCCCTTAATTGGGGTTATAAGTAAATATAACTATAGTTACCTTAAAATTAACCTCAATTCCTCAGTCCCATGATCCTTTAAGTATACTTTGCCCCCCCCAAAGTACCCAAACAGGGACTACTTTAAGGCCAAAGTATATACTATGGGTTTGGGGTTCGTTCTATTATGATACTGAGCAGGCCGGCCCGTTCGGAAGTTTGAACCCAGAGTCGCATGAAGGGGTCAGGGTCTTTTGGTTTTAGGGTTTAGGGGTTGAGGGTTTAGGATTTAAGGTTTAGGAATTAGGGTTTAGGGGTTTAGGGTTTAAGGTTTAGGGTTTTGGGGTTTATTCAGGGATTAGGTGGGGAGGGGGCGACGAGGGTTGGACGCAATGAGGAAGACTCTTTAGTTGGGGAGGGTTCGAGCTTGATCAGCCATTAAAACCCAAATGCCAGTGAGCCTGCGCACCCTAAAACTTCAACCCGCGACCCCTATCATAGAACATAAAGCCATAAAGCTCTAACCGTCAACTGCCGTCAACCTTACAAGCACCACACTCATCTACACTCTAGAGCACCAAAGCCCTAAAGTTCGAAACCGCCATCAAGCCCCTTGATGAGACCCTAAACCCGAAACCCTAAACCCTAAACCCGAAACCCTAAACCCTAAACCCTAAAAGGGCTGTAGAACCGGGTGTGATCCCCAGGGTTGGGCCTACTTCCGCTCCGTTGCCGCCGAGGAGCCTGGACCAGACTGGGGTGTAATGTAGGGGGTTTAGGTTTTAGGGTTTGGGGTTTAGGGTTTTAGGGTTTAGGGTTTTAGGGTTTAGGGTTTAGGGTTTTAGGGTTTAGGGTTTAGGGTTTAGAGCGGTCCAGGGGTTTAGGGTTCAAGCCTAAACCTTAAACCCCTCGAGTGGTCCAGGTTTAGGGTTTACAAGATTTAGGGTTGAATGTGCTTTAGGGTTCTTTTTCTTTTTTTGGGGGGGGAGCTTAAGGGTTGGTTTTAGGGTTGCTTAAAGGTTGTTTACCATTCGTGTTTAGGTAGTGTAAGGGCTTGAAGAGTTGATTCTGCGGCTCTAGGGTTCGGGCTTCCGTTGTTGCTGTTTTTATAGTGCTTTTAGGGTTTAGGGTTTAGGGTTATGGGGTTATAGGGTTATAGGGTTATGGGGTTATCGGGTTTAGGGTTTAGGGTTGAGGGCCTCGAGACCCCTACAATCTAGCTTCTTCTTACCAAAGGCCCGACTCCTGAACACCCACATCCGGAACGACAGCTAAGCTAAGCTATGAAGTACCATACTTTAATACTTTTTTTGGGACTGTTCCTTAAAGGAACCATTATGAAATAGAAGTCTATACTTTTTTCTCCCTGGTTACTTCAAAGCCCAGTAAGACCGCCATACAGGAGCTGCTGTCCTGCTTGCAAAGCGGATGCTTGGCTGCCTATGGAACGCCGGACCTTTCTGAAGAGTCCCAGTTAGCAACAAACAAAATAAAAGCATCAACCAAGAGAAAACAACCCAAACCCAAAGCCTTAATCACCGAACCGTAGCCTTAAGCTCCATTGAAGCCAGAAGGCTTGATTTCCCAACTCAAATACCCCATGTCGAGATCTACTAAGCTCCCCCTAAGCGCTGTAAGCCCTAAAACCCTAAACCCGAAATCCTACAAACCCTACTTGGAGGTTCATGGGTAGTTATATAAGTGGGTTATAAGTAGGGTAACTATAATTATAACCCATATTAAGAGACTTATAACCCTACTTAGAACTAGCCATGAGCCTCCAAGTGCACTTATATCAACCCTTACTGAACCTACAAACCCTAAAGGTGCTTCGGATCCCTTGGGCAAGCTAAGGCTTCGACCAAACGGTGCTGTACATTCCGGAGGAGGTCCGGGCGAGCATAGGATTAGGGTTTAGGGTTTAGGGTTTAGGGGTGTAACTTTTCAAGGACTGACAGGCTGAGGGACTTGGCGGCTTGAGGATTTGGGACTTAAGGCTTTTCGGATGTAGGGTTTAGGATCTAGAGATGTGGGGTTTAGGGTTGAGGGGTTTGGGGTTTGGATTTCCTTGTTTTGTTATCGGATTTCTTTGGAATCTAGAGAGTTTAGGTAGGGTTAGGGTTTAGGTTCTGGGTTGTCGTGGGTTCACGGTGCTTGGGGTTGAGGGTTTGTAGGCTACTTTTGTGTCGCGCCCTACGGAGCGACTTCCCACCTCTCCCCCATGGGCGAGAACTACGTACAAAGGAGTGAAAAATCACCCTAAGGGTGCATGTGCCAGAATAGTAGATACTTCGGCTTTAAAGTAGTCCCTATATAGGTACTTTAAGGCCAAAGTATCGACTATTTGGGTACATGGACCCTTAGGGTCACTATGAGCGGCATCACTACAACGCCTGAACGTGTTAAGGATGTGGCATGAGGTTCTCGAGCCCTCAAGCGGCAATGAAGCACTCCCGTGCCAAAGCTCACGAGATCCCTCTTGAGTATACGCTCGTGGGATCACCAAAGAGAGGGGAATTATCGAGCCTGGCACGGCAGCTCACCCTTCTTGTGGCCTGGCGGCACCGATGCCATTGCGGGGGGCGAGGCTGGTTCCTCCACCGCGGGCGCGTTGGTGGACTACGCCGCAAATCACGTTGAAGCGCAACAGCCTGGGACTTTGGCTAGCTTGGATTAAGGGGCAGCCCTGGCGTTTTGCATCATGCATCTTGTAGGGTTGCTTTTGTGGTGCAGGATGTGGGGTTGAGGATTTTGCTCTAGTCAACTCTAGTCAGTCTGATTTTTGAGCACCTTAACACAGCTCTGTTGTGGTGAACTTCGTTACTGCATACGTGCAGCAGATTGTTGAACGGCCCTTTAACCCCAGACCTCCTGGGCTAGCACCGTGGGGTACGTGCCCACTTTCCAGGTCTCGTGCATCAGTTGCTGACAAGGACAGTTTTGAGTCACGGGCTTTACGATGTC